GATTATCTTTTTATTGCAACTTTGATTAATGATTGATCAAAAACTGATACTAGAAACACTGAAGAACAAATTTGCCCTAGAGATTAGGAAAGGTCTGCATCTGCCAGGCTCGGGGACCTGCCCACCTGCTCCCTCCAAGATCAAACCGGGGCAAAAGTACGTTGGGAGACCCAGCCCTACACACTCTCACACGTGCAGTCACACACAGAGGGAAAAAAGACTTAAACGTCCTTACATCCCTTTGGAATTGGGCTAAAAATTGCCAATACATAGAGCAATGGACAGAACAAAAGGACCTAAGGGGTTTCGTAGAATTTTTCTTTCTTGTTTTGTTTCTATTAATGCCTGTTGCAAATTGTGAACTTAAAAGAGAAATTTGGAGCGTGGGGAAGAGAGAAGCCTGTACGAAGACCATGGCTTGGACTTCCTGCAGACCTCAAGTCCCAAGGACATCTGAGATGTGTCCAGCACCAGGCAGGGGAGGGGCAGGGAGTGCTAAACAAAGAGGAGAAGGACGAGGCCATGCTCCAGTGTGTTCTGGCTGTTCCGATGGTCTCTAACGCCGTGACGGCCATAGCGTGGTCCATAGAGCACACCAGAATCACCAAAGCGCCCAAACCTACAGGCTCAGTGACCAGAGAGCCAGGAATCTGCGTTTTAACAGCCTCCGACAGTGGGCTCTGCCCCTGCCCGCCCTCTGAGAGTGCCCAGGAAGCAGGGTGCCGGCTGGAGCACTTCCCCTGCCCTCAGCTCCTCTGCGGTGCCTTGGGGCACAGGGAGTGGAAGCTGGCAGAGCTGCTTCTGAATTGAAACTGGAAAATGAAACTGGAAATCGTAGCCTCGTGCCCCTGAGTGCCGGAGTTTCCTTTCCACAGGGAGAGTCCCCTGGGAAGAAGGGAGTGGGTGGGGTGGGGTGTGGGCATTTCAGTAAAGGCACAAGGTGGCCAGTCTGCAGCCTGGTGGGGAGGGGTGGCGAGCTTGCTGTCAGCCCTGGGGAGACTTCCTCTCCAGGAAAAGCCAATTTTATACTTATGTCGAAAAACTCCTTTCAGTGATAATTTGGGGTCAGGGGGCCTGGCTACCCATTCATTAATCTGGACCATTTTATACCAGATGCTTTCCCCCCTTGGCCGGCTGGGCTCCCCCACACACACTGAGGACTTGGATGAGGACAGGAGGTGCTTTCTCAAACAGTCTGAGTCTACCTGAGGGTCAAAGATCAAACCCTAGACTCCTCTCTCCTCTGGTTCTCTCCTCCCCCCACACGTACGGGTTCGTGCTCACCCGGCCGCAAATGCTGTCAGCAGCTGCCCGCAAAGGCACCACTTTGGGCCAACTTTGACGATACCAGCAAAGCAGCATTTATAGAAGCAGCAGATTTCCCGAAGGGCCTGGAATTCAGGGGAGGAGGGCAGTGGGGGGAACCAAGAACTGGCCCCCCTGCTGGCTCCGCCCTGCCCTTGCTCATCTGAAATGTCTCTTCCTTGGGAACAGCTGCCCAAGCCCCCCAATCCTGCACACTCTTTCTTAGGTTAAGTGCCCTGAAGTTGCGCCGTGTCACAGCACTTGTATTTTTCAGAGATTTGTGTGGTTATTTGCCTAATGTCTGTCTCCCTCATGAAACTGTGAGGCCTGGAACCTGGTCTGTGCTGTTCACTGCTTGTCCCCAGGGCCTGGAATAGCGCCTGGCGTGCGGTAGGTGCCCATGTGTTGGTGCGTGAGGGCAGCCTGGAGAGCCCAAGAGAAGGATGGTGCTCCCGCAAGGGGTCTGCATCCGGGCTCCAGTGTCCACATGCCACCTCAGCCACCCAGGAACCTTTCTTTGAGGATGCTTGGACAGATGCCCCGCTTTGCTGCCCGCAATACCAAAACCCCAGACTGCGGGATGCTCTGAGCGTCCGCAGTGTGTGCAGGCAGTTCCTGAGGGCTGCGGGCTTGGTGGAGGAGCTGCCGGGGGCAGGGGCTGTGTCCCTGTGGCACGTTCTGCACGGCCCCGGCTTTGCCCCCCTTACCTGCACAGGTGGGCTTCACATAGCCTCTTCCAGATAGGCAGGGGCACTGGGCTCCCTGGACCACCCAAAAAAAGAAAGGCTACTTTTGGCCTGAGGGTCAGGAGGAGACAAGCTGGGGTTGGGTGCGTGACGTGATTTTTAAAGCAGGGGTGGGCAAATGAAGGACGCTGGTGGACGGTCCTCTGGGAGGAGATGTGGGCTGAGGAAGCAGCTCTGACTACAGGCCCACGCCAGCCCTCAGTCTTCTCAGCCTCACCGGCTCGTCTGTGAATAGCTCCTGTTCTCGTGCTTGTGCATGAGAGGCAATGTCACAGAAGTCATAGGGCAGACTTTGGAACCAAGCTCTCTGGGATAAAATCCCAGCTCTGTGATTCACAGGCTGGGTGACCTTGAGCTAATTACTAAATCTCTCTTTGCCTCATTTTCTCTTCTGTAAAATGGGAACAGTTATACTGAGTTCTGTGAGTTAATCCGTGTTCCTGACACCTGGTGCGGGCCAGTCATTGGTGGCTGTCGTTACCACAGCCAGAGTTGTGAGGACCCAGCGCGGTGGCAGGTGAGAGCGCAGCTCCCGCACTCGAAGGCGCTGTGCAGTGTGAGGAGTGGTGAGATTATCTCGGAAATACTGAAGGCGCAGCTTCTCTCCCACATGTGTCTGGGGTGGGGCAGCTGTTTTACTTATTTAATGTTAAACTAGAAGATGCACCAAAGGGAGGTGAAAAATGAAACCGCCAACCGTTTGAGCTGTCAGCTGCACCAAGCAGTGTGGCCGGTGCAGATGGCAAGGGCCTGGGCAAGCCCACTTCCTCCGTGCAGGCCGCGCATCTCCCTCACACGGCGGCCTCCCAAGGCCACAGGAAGCCGGGCCAGGCACAGGCCCTCCAGGTGTGCGGGAAGCCTGGGCAGGGGGTGGCAGCTGCCAGGGTGAGGATGGAAGCCTTTGAGGTCCTTGCTGGGTCCTGGGACCCCTGTACACTAGCCCCTGCCCTCCCCCTGCCCAGGCCTGCCCGGAACTAGTTGGAAACGGGCTCCTGCCCAGGCTCTTCTCTCCTGAGGTAGGGAGCCATCGTGCAAAAGGCATCCAGCCCAAGAGAGCAAGCTGGATGGGAGGAGAGCTGAATCTTTTCTCAAAGGAAATGCAGTTGTGGTTTTGAGATGTTCATATTTCACATCTGTGGTTGGCGTTTCCCAGGGTTCTCAGAGGTGAATGCAGGGTCAGCCCCATGTCGCCAAATAAGGTTCACAGTGACCTTAGCAACAGGCTTTGCTACCCATTGGCTGCCACTGTTGCTGCCTGCCAGTGCGGCCTCCCGAAAGCCAGCGCTGAAGCTGAGCTGAAGCTTCCACGTGCCTCTGTCAGAAATTACTGCCCTGGAAGCAGCCGCAGGTAGGCAGAGAGCTCTGCACAAAGGTGGACAGGCAGTGGGGCAGGACTGCCTGGGTGCCCAAGTTTCAGAGTCCGCCTGGCCCGTGCTCCACTGACTGAGTCCTCACTCAGCTTGATGGCCTGGTCCCAGCTTGCCCAGGGGAGCTCCCACCCCTACTCCCTAGCTGTCGGCCTCGGACTCCACCGTGGTTACCATTGCATGGTTCTGCTCGTTTTAGTTCCACTTGTTCTTCCTTTTTCCCAGGCACTCGGCTAAGCTGCTTCTACACATTGTATCTTTTAACTCTCTCAACAACCGGGTGAGCTAGTTAGCCCCATTTTACAGGTGCAGAAACTGACACTAAGGGAAGTCAGGTAACTGGCCCAAGGTTACACCGCTAATAAAGTGAGGAAGTCACAATTTAAACCCGATTTAAACAGGCCCAGACCCCCTGCTATTAACCATCGCACTGTACTGCCAGACACTCGATGTCTGCAGCTCGCTGTCATTTTGCGACATGGTGATGATGATGCCAGGCCTCAGGCAGCTGGGATCAGGACTGCATGGAGTGACTTTTGTGCAAAGTGCTGGCTTGTCCAGTAGCATACCTTGGCCCTGGTGGCCTTAGTGCCCCCAAGTCATGCTCCACAAGCGGTTCGCACGTTCCTCTCTTGTGGAGTGTGCTGCTGAGACGTTGAGGTTTGTGAGCTGGACTTCTCTGTGTCTTCGTATTTGGTTTCTACTTCCTCTTTCTCAGCCTCCTCCTACCCTCACTGACTGCAAGGTGGGGAGGCCAGAGAGGAGCCTGCTCCCAAGGGGCCCCAGCCTGTGGGTACCAGGGAACAGGCTGGCTGGGCTGGAAGGGATGAGGTTCTGCAGACAGAGGTGGAAGGTCACACTGTAAGGGCAAACATACCTCATTTCCTCTACCTGGACACCTGGTGTTACAGCACTGTTTCTCTGAGAAACACTCTCAGGATTAAGAAAGTATATAAATGATCCGGTGAAGATGAAAGTGCATATACCCTGTAACCCAGGGGTCCCACTCCTCAGAGTCTGCTCTCACCGCACTTTAGCGTGTGCACCGGAATATTCACACAGCGCCAGGAGGAGTCCACGGCCCATCAACAGTAGAGAGTACAAATACATTGTGAGCTTTCCTGCAGTGAAAATGAATGAACTACAGTGACTTGTAAGCAACTGAAACATTGTGATAATTGGATAGTAGCACTGAACGGCTCATCAACATAATGCTAAGCAAAACATACAGAATGCATACAATATAATACCTTTTATAAAAAGTTTAACAACTGGCAATATTGGACTATATTGTTAAGGATATATGCAGAGGAAGTAAAACTATAAAAAAGAAAAGCACAAAAGTCATCACAATTGTCAATTTGGTCATGACCACAGGGGAGGGTGGGGGTTGTGATTTGTAGGGGAACTTGGGGGTCTTTGGGGGTGCTGGCATTGTTTTATCTCTCGACATGGGTAGTGGTGATACAGAGATTTGCTTTGTGGTTATTTGTTAAACTGAACATAGGTTTTGTGTATTTTTCTGCATAACTCTTATTTCACAATAAAAAATAAAAAGTGTATGTATGTGAATCTATCATAGCCTCGAACAGTGCATTGAACGGACACAGAATGAGGCCACAGAATGAGCTCTGCCTCCGCGCTGCGCCTCTTTGGAGCAGTGCTCAAGAGTGCCACACTCGCCGGACCACAACCGTTCCTGCAGACGGAGGAGCCTTGGAGGGAACAGAAGATAACAGCCATTGTGGAATTTGGGATTGCAGGACATCCTTTCACACTCCGGCCGTGACCAATTTACAGCCAGAGAAGATCAACCCGTGGCTGTGGGAGCAAGACCTGAAGAAACCGTGGCCACGGCCTGTCTGGGCTTCTGGGGACGTGGGTGGCTGGAGGGACACATGCAGATGACTCTGTCTGGGACCCAGCCCCACTTGGCCCCTGTGCAGTACTGACTTGGCTGGCACTCTGATTCTAGGAGCCTCCCTTCAGGAATGCCTGCATTGGTCGATTATCCGCCATATGTCTGTCTGGTCCCTGCAGAATACAAAAAGAAAGTAGCCTTCCGCAGTGGCTGAGCCGGGGCCCACTGGATGCTTAGTAAGGAGCCCAAGGCCACAAGTTGAGGCGCTGGCTCCCTGCCCTAGGGACTGGTGCTCTCTGAGGGTACAGACCATGTTTTATTTCCCCAGTCTGGAATGAGCCCTGGATGACAGTTAATAAACACCTGTTAAGTGAACAAGTGTGTGGAGTATGTGCCGTAGAGCAGCAGTCCCCACCTTTTTTGGCACCAGGGACCAGTTTTATGGAAGACAACTTTTCCACGGACCAGGTGGGGGTGACGGGTGGCGAGCGATGGGGAGCAGCTGTAAATACTGATGAAGCTGCGCTCGCTTGCCGCTGCTCACCTCCTGCTATGCAGCCCTGCTGCAGGCAGGCCAAGGACTGCTCAGTCTGTCATGGCCCGGGGATGGAGGACCGCAGCTGTAGAGAGTAAGGGCTCCTTAGGACCCTGCTGGAGAGGCAGCCCACTGGGCTTCCTGCTTCTCTGCAGGGCCCTCACCGGATAGCCCCGCCACTTGCAGCAGGCTTCCTCGGGGACACCCAGGGCTGTTGCCCACTGGCCCGTATGTCGGGTGTTAAAGATGGCCCTCCTTTCTCTTCTGCACGCTGGGCATGACCAGTTTCCACAGCTCTTCATCTTCCAGCCCGCAGCATACTGGTTATTCAGTCTGGAGAGGCGACCAAAGTATCCAGATGTGATCTGAACAGGCAGAACCATGGATGCAGATGGAGAGTTCGGGTCTGTGTGCTTTGGCAGTCAGTGTGTTCGGGTCGTAATGGTGACAGCGGCTGGCACAGCCTCCAGCACTGTAGGAAGGATCAGGGTTTATGCCCATCATCTTTCTTTCTTTGGCGTTCTCACAGCCTTAACATAGACACTGTTTTGGTGTAAAACCCCATGTTGTAGTCCTTGTCAAGAGTGTTATGTTTCTCCTCAACTATCCTGGAGACTCCCTGAGGCAACTGGCTTGTGGCAGGCACTCTATAATGTTAGCTAGTATTATTTGCTTTATTGTGTTGTTATTTGAATGGACAATCGTCCGTGGCATTTAACGAGCATGTACTACGTGCCAGAAACAGGTCCCTGAACATAGCAGTGAACAGAATAGACCTATCCCTGCCCCCAGCACCCCCAGACACTCTGACACAACTTGCTGATTGAATGACAAACTTTGATTAAACCCATTGTAATTAACCCCTCTGCCACCAGACATCATTGCATGTCCTCTGAATGTTCAACTCAGAACACACCTTTCCTGCCCTCAGGTGCTAGAACGTGAGAGTCTGAGGAAAACTCCCTGTGAGAGTAAAAACACTGAACCTGGAGAGCACTGACCAGGGGCCACATCCTTGCTCTGCCACAAACCCGCTGTGTCACAGTGGGTGAGTTACTTGACCTCTCTGAGCCTCAGTTATCGGTGAAGTGGGGTTAACAATGTATCCCTTGGTGGCATGAGATCAAATAGCATCACCGCAGTGCACAAGTCCAGGGGCCGCTGTTCACGTTTTAGTCCATGCAGCCTCTGCTGGCCTAGGAGCAAACGAGAGTACTTTCACTGTGTGACCGCAGTTAATGGCCAATAAGTAGCAGCTACTGTTGTGCACAAGTGGGGAAGCAGGGTCCAGCTGGCAGGCTGGACCGGCTTGGCCAGGCTTCGCTCTCCAAGGAAGGGCAGGGCTCTGGGACGTGCGGGCTCCGATGTAGGCAAAGGCCAGGAGGCAGGGACTGCTGAGCATGTCGGGGAGGAAGGAGGCTGGTGAGGGAGGTGGTCAGCAACTTCCAGTCTTGGGTAAGGAGTTTGCCTTTCCCTCTAGGCCAGAGAAGCCACCAGAAGCGGGGCATGGATGAGACCAAGGCAAATACTGTAATTAGTGAGCTTCAGCAGTCCAACGTCTATCTCACCAGACAAACAAAGGTCAGGGAGAAAAAGTCACGGACCAGGGCCCAGGCCAGGACCTCCGCCAGTACAGGACCCAGCTCAAACGACTCCTCGAGTCCAGGTTGTGGCCCCACAAAAGGAAGTTCCTGGCACTTTTCATATATATTTGTAATATTTTCCTGATTAGAAAAGTAATTATAGGTCATTGCAGAGAATTTATAAACCATAAAATACAAAGAAAATGTAATCCCACCATCCAAAGATAATCACTGCTAGTGCGGTGATGTATTTCCTCCACACATATTCCACCTAAAATTGTATATTATGGTCGAGTGCGGTGGCTCCCGTCTGTAATCCTAGCACTTTGGAAGGCCAAGGCAGGAGGATCACTTAAGGTCAGGAGTTTGAGGCCAGCCTGAGCAACATAGTGAGACTTCATCTCTAGAAAAAGAAAAAAAAATTGCCGGATGTGGTGTCGCACACCTGTAGTCCCAGCTACCCAGGAGGCTGAGGCAGGAGGATCGCTTCAGCCCAGCAGTCTGAGGTTGCAATGAGCTATGATGACGCCACAGCAACAGAGTGAAACCTGTCTCAAAAAAAATAAATAATATTTTCTATATTCATTGGGTTAGAATTACATTGTATATAGGTTTCACGTTCCACCTTTTCCCTGTAAAATTGTGTTTTATGAGGAAGGACTGTTTTTAATGCAGAAGAAACTCTAGAAAACCTTTTCCTTTAAAAAAAAAAAAAGCGCAAAGCCCTAGTCTGCAGTGGTTGCGAGGACATCCTGTGGGCTGCAGGGTGGCTCTGTCACGCGCATCCGGTGTGAGCTTCAAGGCAGCGGCTGTGGCCAGGTCCTGCTCTCCCCTGGCCAGGCTGCAGCTCTTGCCTGAGCGAGACAGGGTTCTGATGAGTGTGC